TTGGGTCGAGTTAGTGGCCGCACTATTATTAATATATTAGTGCGGATATATGCAATATATATCCGCAGATATATACACAATGACCTTGTGATATATTACTAGGTCATTGAGGGCACCTGCCGTAGGGGAGGGGGACAGGACATGTCGACAAGATGGATTGACTAGAAGGGCTTGGGTTCAATATTGAATGAATATTGATATAGCAATATCGGAATTTCATTGTTTTCCCAACATTCACCCAATATTGGCAATATTGCACAAGATCTAGCCAACGTACCCAATGCCGTTTCAGCATTGGACCAATATCTGGTGCTACTGGGGTACCTCCCTCCATGAGACCTTCCTCATATAAGCTCTAACCAGTGAAGTCTCCAAGATTATCTGTGGACAGATGAAGTTAGATTAAATTTACACGCCTACGAGTACCACTGAGGGAGGCACTTATCTTCGAAGCCTCTCCCACAATCCAGACTTTTTTCCTTCCAAAAAAAGGTTTGCCTTAAGCGCTAAGCACCTACTCGTTGCCTATAGCCTCAAGCAGGATTTTCCATACATCGGCCTCTGGGGATATACAGCTTTCCATTGAATCCACCCCGGCCTGTGTGGCCAAGCTTCAGTCTTCAAAAAAGGCGTGTACCACTTCGAACGCGGCTCTGACGAACAGTGTGGATTCTCTTTCCACCGAGATTGGTGCCATAAAATCAAAGACCTTTGACTTATCGGAGAGAGTGAGAAATCTAGAGTGAAGCCTGTAATTCTTGTCAGATGATGTGGATCAATCGAGGGAAAATACCCTCCCGTCTTTGGTCACTAAACTGAAATAAGAAGTTCCATCCTAGAATCCAAGTCCTTCCGGCTGGAGATAGGTGATGAATCACCGGAAACGAAACTTATTTTTTCTATGGCCTTGCAGAATCTTTTGCCTAGGTCACAGATTGAGCAGTGCCTTCTTTATTCCGGGAATTCTTAAAAACCCCTGCTGCTTCCGTGGATATAACGGAATTTCTTTGATATTCACAGCTCTTTTACTCGGAATATTCATTCAACCATAGTTGTGGACACCGCTTCTCAGCGCACCATCTTGGTGCGTTTCTTCAAGATGAGGTTCCCGCGATTTAGTTATGGCGAATCTCCAACAGATTAAGAACTCCATGAACAAGATCTTCATCAAACAAGATATCCCACTTGCTCTGAGAGGAACTCAGGCGTCTAGGGAGAATAGCTTATGAAATAATACTTGCAGACAAGCATAAGATGTCCCGGATGCTGTTGCTTGGTGTTAATATTATCCTTGAGGTTTTTGACCACCAGAACGAAATAGAGAGTTTTGGTCCCTGTTCTTGAGAGGACGGCAAGGGATGTAGGACGGCTGACGTCACTGGTGACGTCACCATCAGTTTTAAAACGCGTGAGGAAGACGTGGAAGACGTATGCTCCTCCAGCTGTTCTCCCAGGAAAGTGATCGCGACGCAAGATCTGCAAATCAGGAACGATTTGATAGTCGCGTGAGCCTCGGTACAGCGCAGGATAGTAGTATATGTGTGATTCGTTTAAGTCAGTCATCCTGGAAGGAATGCTATTGATACTTTTCATGGCGAAGCAGCTGAAATTCAAGGTACAGTATACCTAGGCTGGGTTCATAGACAGCTGTCTCGCGTCTCCAGCAAGGGTTTCCCGATTAATAGAAACATAGGCTTTGTTAGAGATGGGTTTCTGGACAATTGTCTCACATCCATAACTTGGGTTTCCTGCCAAACATTCCACAAGAAAGCAACTGACATGTCCTCTTCGTCATCAGAGGAGTAGGATGCAACCCGGACATGAACTTCGGTTACTTTGCCATGAGAGACGGACAGGTAGGCTGCACTATATGTTGTTGGGGATAGTGAACGACAGAGGAATGGGACAGAGAGCGCAGTCAAGGGTTGCAACATCTACATGCGACAATGATGAACTAATATCAGACAAAGGAATCAAGAACATTAGTCCAGAATTCAAACAGTGAAATTAATTATTATAGTGAAACCCCTTCTTAAGGAAGGAACATTTAATTGCAATAGCTCCAAACAAGGGGAAATGCTTTACATTTGGATATATCTGTGTATTTGTGAGTTTGCCAGATAGTACTCTAGGTGTTTATCGCTTTGTCGACAATGCCCTTTGATTGGATGACGTTCGAACAACATATGCGGCGATATCCGTGGATGTTACTCGTCGTTCCAGATCTGGAACGCGTATCCGAAGTGCCATTCGAATATCTGTAACTTGAACGCTTAGTAAAACGTTCACGTTGCCATCCTCCTGGAAATCGGGTTATCAAAACACTCAAGTATGGACCCCTCACATGTGTTGAGTTCCCCCTCCCTTCCAATCAGAATCAAGTAGAGTGCTAGCTCCCAAAGTTTCTGCTTACATTCCGCACGACTTCAATAATCACTTTAGTGACACTTTCTTCCTTTCTCGCTTTTGGCTTTTTTTAATTCTCCTTTCCTCTCCACTTTACTTATGTTGGGCAACATACTCGCCCTATTAGAAGCGATTATGGACCTCAAATCTTCCCCCACCCTAATCCATTACTGTATTTGCAATTGTCAGGCGGCCATTACTTACATGCCGCATCTATGAGACACATAGGGTAAACAGTGTTTTTTTTTTAAATATAAATATTTCCTATTAAGCTCTATCGCTGACTTCAAGCTTAAACTTCTTCCAAAATTCTCTCACTCCTCTCTCCCCAGGGATAGCCCTCCTCAACGTTGTGGAGGGTACATAAAACAATGGATGAGTACATCACACATTCTCCTCTGTCTTTGAACTGCAATGGGCTACTGTCTGGCTTTGGTTTGCATATTAAAAGTAGCATTATAGAACTGGCTCGATCTTAAAAACGCTGATATTTTTCGGAGGAAACGCACACTGAAACAAATGAAAAATGGAAAACTGAATAGGGCGGCAAAATAGTATTCTCCCATGGGACGCACAACAGCTGTGAACTGCCATACTAGTTAATCCTAATTCCAAATCACTACATCCGCACTGAAGCACGACGAATGTGGACGATCTATCATTTCGAACGCAACATGAAACTAAATAAGATATACAGTTGACCTGCATCTATGATTCAGCACGCGTAGATGACCCAAATTCTTCTTAGACTTTTCTCAGAAGGTCGAGGAATACGAGAGCTCAGATATAATTGAAGAGTTCTTTGGAAAAGGGGCGTATATGCCCATATGCCCTTTTCCAAATTCGAATCCATGTGTTGTTTTAGGTGACTAGTCATAGGATACGGTGGTAAGCAAGTGGTAACGATGCGTATTCAGCAAAGGAGAACAAGATTTTCCACTGATTCCAGTATATAGCAGGCTAGTTGCCTGGCAATTTCAATATGGCTGCCTCCACGAATTTTCCATTTGAACATCCATGCTGCACTATTTTGGTGGAATTATTTCGTCCTTTTACATATAAAGTGAAGATGAGGAAGAATGTAGACATGAGGAAAGGAAAAGAAAGGCGGAGTCATTGAAGCCTCTGGAAGGATGTGAAAATTTGGAGATATCAAAGAAATAGTCGCAGGATCAAATGGTGAATACGTTAATGATGGATCGTTGCTGAGTAATTGGCGAATGAAACGTGTCCCGAAAGTTCAATTTTTCATTGCTATTCTTTAATAAAGAGTTTATTTAAAATCTGCAAACGCATTTATTGATTAATTATTATTAATAACAGGAAAGAAGTCGTGAAAGGTTCGGAAAAAGTTTCAGCAGCGCGGATATGAAAAAAAGGGGTTATGTGCATAATAAACACAGTCTTCCGGCATCCTAGCAATGTGAGATAAAGGAATTCATTAAAACTCCAAATTCAAACGGAGAAAGGTCTAAGATTCCATTTTACTGATAATTAAGTTTTGACCAGATTAACTATGAGAAGTTTTAATCGTTTATGTCGAATTGCATTTTCTTTCTAGAGAACTCCTCAATTATTGGAGGTGAACAGAACTGGTGTTAGATGTCCACACCGACAACGTTGGAAGGTATCCCAGTCGCCCAATCTGAAGCTCAAAAGAGTACAATACAATCTGTCCTTGATATTGCAATATTTGACTACTTTTACCTATTAGATGAAATTTTCTTGCCGAAGGAGCATAGAGGAGAATATGAAGCTCCCTCCCCCTTTCCTCAAAAACAGAGGAATTTAATGTTTAAAAGGGAAAAGTGAAATGGTCATGAACCTGGGATGGGAAGGAAAATACACTTTACTCATATGCATTGACGAAATAAGGAAACGATTGAATGCAAAAATGATTGAATCCAAAAATGCAATGAATGCAAAAAAAGGCATATCTCGCGGCAAATGGCCCTTATGAATCGGATTAATTTGAGACTGATTTTTTCCCATGACTAATGCATTTCCAATGACAAAGTTCCATGACACAACAGAGACATGAAGAAATCCATTGCACTATCATCCCTTGAAGTAAACGTCTACTCAAACAGTACCTGCGTGGGGACGACAGAGCGCAACAATACCAAGTGTCGGATCATGACAACTAAAAAATAACATCAACTTTAATGCAAATGTTAAAGAGAGTTTCAGAAATTGCATTTATTGCTAGTTACATTTGATTCATGGGATATTCTCGGATTATTAAGCAGACAGCATGATAATAAAAAAGCGAGACTCTTTTTAACTGAGTTCCGAATGCAATCCTCTAAGTAAAATCTGATTCTCATCCACTTTGGAAGAAAGTATTTCATTACATTGGCCTGTAATAACAATTTACTCCATTTAGCAATACTGATTAATTTCAAGCTTAAAATCTATCCCGATGGATTTCCAATTTAAATTCAGAAAAAATTCAAAATCCAAAACAAAATGCCCTAAATAAAGAGCACCAAATCTCCATAAACATTTTGGAGAGACTTTGTGGAATACATATAAAACAAGTTTTCACTCTGGACACTCAAAGTAAGTGTAACACTAATGAATCCGATGAAGTAAACAAGAAAACCTACTAGCAGGAGACATTTCATCAGGATATCATGTCCTTGGTTTATCAAAAATATCGTCAATAGTTAGATGATGCGCATGCCGATAGTTCTTTACAGCCATGTACTTCAGGATCTTCTCTCTTGTCCCTTTGTTGGATTCGACCATCATGATCTTAATATGAAAACAGTATACAAGGCCATGAAAAGCAAATACAAATGATCTCCAGAACGCCCTGCATTTGGTGTTACTCCATACCTGAATATCGAGAATATCCCAAGGGATGCTAGTGAGAACTTCATAATCCAGTCCTTCTATGTCCAGACTGAAGAAATCTATCTTCGACTGGCCGATGGCTCTGAGGAGTGATTCTAATGGGAAACAGATCAAGTGCTGCCCTTTTTTATTTTTCTGATTTTTGGACGTCATCTTTCCACCTGAGCCTCCTCCTTCCAAGGACATCTGCGTGCACAAGAAATAATGTCTCAATATAAAAGCAAAAGGAGGATGGTTCGTCTATGCCAAGGCTGACCTGTTGGGGATAAGGGATAGGACTGAGACAGGAATGGGACAGCCATGCCTTTCTCATCTTTGCTTTCAAACTAGCGAAATTTCTGGCATCGGGTTCGACGAGAAGTCCCGTCCATTTCCTCTCCCTTTCAAGCCAGAGGGTATTTGAAAAGGTTTCGCCATCATATGCTCCAGCTTCAATGAAGAATCCGCCAGTCTATGGATATTGTCGTCGCTCATAAGAAATGCAACATCTTTTTTAAAGTAACCTAAGAATAACCTCAGACCGAATTTTCAAAGGTGCTCTGAAGGAAAACAACTTGGTCGGGGAACTGGGAGAAGTGGGTTTGTGGCTTGGTGAGGTGGTAGGGAATTTCACTGGGAAGAGGTGGGATGAGAACGTAGTTCTTGATGTATTTGAGCAAGCGTGGATCATTTGCGGAAATATTTTCACCCTTCTCAACAATCCTCAGCAGCAGCTCTTGCTCGTCCCAGGTTTCTGTCTCCGCTCCTAGTGAGGAAGAAAGGGAAATTCGATTGTGGCGAAGTAATGTTGCTATTTATGCGAGAACTTGGCACTAGCGCAAATTTCCATTCCGGCCCATGAAGCTCGCATCACGTCAGTTTATGTGTCCAGCCAAATGTCTCATCCCGTCTCATATTATCCAATCCCGACCAATGACAAAACTGTGGAAATCAAACCGAATCCTGTTGTGTTCTTATTTACCCACGTTCGCCACATCCTCGATCTAACTTGACTAAAAAATTAGTAAGGACACTTTCATTAGTGAATTCTGGTGCTATATGCAATGCTAGGGAACACATCAAACTCAGTTAATAGAGTTTCAATTATATTTTATTTATTTATGTTCGCAATATTTTTTTATTACCTTGATTGCATTGTGATGAAGTATGAAAACATTTGTACGCCTTCATTTCTTTCATATGGAAGCAATGCTTATCGTTCTAATGTTGAAGGTGTTGAGTTGAGAGCTCAACACCTCCAGCAATACCAGCGGACAAAACTGTCTTTCCCAAGGAAGGATTCTAAATTCCTCTGAATTATAGAAAACCATTCGATATATACAGGGTGTCCATAAAAGATCTTACTCTTTGAAAGTTCAATATCTCCGGAACGGAAAGGGATAGGAAAGTGACGTTTTAGGAGGATACTCAGGAGTCATGGGATTTTATTTGAGACGAAGAGCCCCGTTCAACCGTCCTCAAGGTTCTAAGGCAATCTCTAAAAAATGTTTCCGTACCAGTTAAAATGTGTCCAAGAACGTGTCCAAACGTTTGTTCGTTCAATGTGCACTTTTGGTAGGCTCTTTGTCAATCACACCACTGATTTCAACGACAACAAAATGGGTTCATGGCCTGCCTCCATGCGGCATTTTGCAAATATAACCCGTCTTCTCGAACTCATCGACGACAATCATTAGAGCTTGTCTGGAGCAGGGCCCCAAACGCAGGTTGCGTGCTGTGAGGTATTTCCGCATGGCAATAATAGCATTAAACTTGTTGGAGTAGAAAAGCTTTATTAATTCGCCTCTGCTTCTTTGTCAAAGTTCTGACTTTTACATTTAAAACCGGAAATTTTTACATTCTCTCAGTAGTAGTTAAATACTACCAAGAGAGCGAATATAGGACTTCTTTATTTGCAAAAACAGTCTCAAATAAATTCCTATGACCCCCTGAATATCCCCAAAAATGTCACAGGCCTTTCCGTTCCGGAGATATTAAACTTCAAAAGTGTACTTTTTATGGACACTATGTATATCGATTAAAGTAACTTCCATCAAATCTGCTGCTACCTCACTTTCAAGAATCGAACACGCCTACACCTAGATCCATTTTTCATATGTGCGATTCCATGCACTTTCATCATCTCTACTTCTTTCCCATGAAGTCACCTTAGATATGGAACCATCCTTCCTCCATCTTTCGAGCCATAGTTTTCTGGAGACACCTTGAACTGGGACTGCCAAGATCTACAGGTATTTGTTAAAGAATTCAAATATCTTCATCTCGAATGAAAATGGAATTCCGGAACCGTACATCAGACGAATGGAGGAAGTCAATGAACATGCAGATAACTGCACAGTCACGATCCGGAATTACCATTTTTTCAATGTAGGCTCCCTTCTTCCACATATTATACTTTCACTTCTTTGCTATTTAACAATGTGACTGCGATACTGGAAAGCAATACAACCTATGAAGAACACTTGCGATCGTCTGCTTTCTTCACCCTTTCGTGAGCGCTTTGAAAGGACTAAAGGAGATGGAAGTATTGACGAAAGATGATGAAATTATGCAAATATGCAATTCTGAACTTTGTTACATGGACCCTCACGAGGAAACTGCGGTGATGGACTTCTTTCTTCAACACATGTGAACACAAGTGGCAACGATTTGACGAATCGCCCCATATATCCTCATGAAGGCTTGGGATCTCAACTCCCGACACCGGTCGTGAAGGACTGGCGATGCCACCGTCCCCTTATATCATTCAAGCCAGAGTTCTTTGGAATATGTTACCTCTAAAGACGAATTTGTTCAGGAATTCGAGTATCTTCCGCTTGGGTTTACGAGGAGAAAGATCGACTAAATTATGGAATGTATTGGGTCCTGATTCCAGCTGTATCGTGAGTTGACTCACTATAGCGACTACTTTGACGCCATCTAGCTTCGGCTGTGGGAACCTTATATTCTTTCAATATTATCGAAATTTCGAAATTAAAAAAAATATTATTATTTCGAAAATAATATTCTTTCAAAATACCCTGATGACCTTGTATTTATTCCAACACCAGGCCTGGAGTCTCTTTCCTGCATTGCTTCAAGTGAGTGAAATGACACAGAACATAAATTTCCCGCGTCCAACGTACCTATCCAATTTGTATGTTTTGCATGAAGAGGTTCTTGCAATGTTGTTCGAGATTCTTACGAATCAACGAGGATAATCGCTCTCGGAGGGATAAGTACTGAGATTTGAAGCAGTTAGCTACCCTCATGCTGTTTGCGCCAATATAATCCAATAAAATGTTCGATGACAATGGCGGAAATATTATTTATTGGGACAATAGAGGGTGGTCATAAAGTCCCGATCTATTTCATTGAAAAACTCAAAATACTTACAAAATGCATGTAGTGCACTTCACATCGTCAATAATGAACTAAATTAAACTGGTGGGAGTAATAAAAAAATGCTAACAACAAATCAGTTAACATTTGTTTATTATTGAAGTTCCGCACGACCAGCTTCCAAATCGCTACATAACTGCAATCGATCTGTTTCCCTGAATATTCAGGCTATTCAACGTCAGGGGGTAGGGTGTTGACAGCAGCACAGATACGATCTCTGAAATCTTCAACACTGAGAACCTTCGATGTGCAAATCTTTGACTTGATGTACCATATGCAAGAAAATTTAAATGGAAGTGGGAAATGAGCCATATGAGTGATGAATGAAAACACAAAGAGGCTCAAACCCAGTTCGGAAAGTGTAGGCCTCAAAAGATAAAAATGGAAGGAAGCATTGCTCCCCAGAGAATTTCCAGCCAGACCGAGAGAGACTCGATGGCAGGGAAGGTCCCGATAAGGAAGCCGTACTATCATGGACAAATATTGAATATTATGGGAACCCTCATTTAATCGCTTGAATGGCATGCCTTGCGTCAGCATTTGAAGTTGGCCCAACGTGTGGCAACAGAACAAGCCTAGGAATCATCCAGTAGCTCCCAAAATATTGGATCAATATTGCCTGGCAAGGAATATACATATTGCTCCAGTATTGGTACCCATATTGGACCATTATTGGGATGTATATAGGACCCCTTATTGGGTCGATATTGTCGCTGCCATTTGACCTACATTCATTACCCAGTGGGTTTTATTCCTAAGGAGTGGACTTTTCTATCTGCGGTACTAGTACGGGCAGTTCTGAAATATCCCCCTGCCCAAGCATGCGTCTGACTTATGGGTTTTGGAAGGACTCATTTCCCCCTGACTGTACCAAACATGGTACATTCAAGAAATGATAAACCCTTTAACGCTTCTGTCCGCGATTACAATTCTTCATTTCCATCCCATGGGAGCAGAACAGTCATGCTGAAATTCTTAGAATGAGAAAATGGACAGAACCTGCCGCGACGTTCATACCCCGTTCGTAAAGGGTTCTCATAGAAGGAATATGACCTTGTTTATAGCCTAGACTCCTCTCTCAAGTATTTGGATGAGAAATGAGGAAGTGTCCTAGTATATTGACTACTTTAATGATACTAGGCAAGAAATACGACAAGGTACTAAACATTCCAGTGAGGGTTGATTCCATGGGTGGAGGGAAAGGCACTTTTTTGTATTGTGCGAAAAGAGAGACCCATAACTTCCTCAAGCGGCCTGGAGGAAAACTTCAACCTTTCCAAAAATAATTTCAAGTGCAACTTAGGAACATTGGATCATCGTATTGGTCTGATATTGAGTCAATGATGAGGTGGCAATATTGGGAAAATTCAATAGTTAATCGATATTGCCTATATTGGTCAAGGTGCAGCCAACGTGCCCAATGTTTGTCCAGCATTTATTTGGGGCTACTAGGGGAGGGACCAACTTAGGCCTCACCGCAAATGTGGAATTCCAACATAGGTCCATCGTTGACCTAACCTGGGGGTGCTACCGGGGGACGGGAGGGGGAAATTAACATTTTGAAGGCGTCGCAACAATCTCCGGAGCTGAATGCCTCCCCGTTACCTAAATAGTGTCATGTATTGCTCTCAATCTTGCGTGGGACGTGCATAAACACTTGGAGGAGATGTCGAATAGCAAAATGAGCAATGGCTCATATACATAATGGAAACCAATGTTGTATTTCGAGACTGGTTTCAGTCTAGCATGTTGCACGGATTTTGAAAACGTCTAAGTAGGTGGTAGCAAGAACTGGGTAATCGTATCCCTCGACTACTGGGCAGAAATAGATGAGAAGCTACTTCTCAGTGCCGCTCCCTCCCCTTTCGTCAGATTTCACTTTCCAATTGATCTCAATTAGTGAAGAGATACGGGCGTATGCTAGAAGCAGCAATATGATCGAAGAATGGGAGGGATGGAAAAATCGGCACTTACTTGCACGTAAAATCAATTCAGGCCAAGCTAAGAAAAATTGCATGAACACCAGGTAATGGCACGATCATCAATGATTTCATCATTGGGCAAAATAGATCCACGTTTAGTTCTTGCAATCCTCCTCCGGCAGCATCACCGAGGAAAGGCCGCACCCAGATTACAGGGATCCACCCTAATCTCTCTGTCCACCCTAATCACGCACTAGGAAGAAGCCAGCCAGTCCTGACCGTCCGAGATTTGAGTTGATACAGTAGAACGATCGAAGGCAAATTCTGGGGAATCTCCTCTCGACTTCGTCCCAAAACCCCATCATTCTTCCTGTTGTGAACTATATGCACCGTGAATAACTTCTCATCCGAGAAGACAATGTTGACATTCAACAGCCTCTTCAGGATCTGACGACTTTGGGACAATCTCTTACTCTTGGTGGCTGCACTGAGGAGCTGTTGCTTTTGGTGTCGGTGGGAGGTGAACCTTAGGTCGTTCATGACCACCCTTATCCTCGTCGATCTCGAGACAGTCATCTCCGCCATCTTCCTGACGGACCTGTTGGGATTGCGCCAAATCCAGCGCAATCCCAACAGGTTTCTTCGTTATCGTCGTTTTCCTGTTGCCTACACATCGTTTGGCGGTAGAGCCTGTCTCAAGGTATCGAATCAATGTCCTTCGATGAAGGCTTGACTTTAGTTCAACTTTTTGCCAGCCTTCTCAATTTCTGGTCTTTTCAGGCCCTGTTCATGTAGTTCCACGACTAACGACCGCATGGCTTCTAACGCAATTTTCTTCGCTTGTGTTCAACTGACACTGACTGACAAATGTGTTCAACTGAGTCAAATCCAGGAATGGATTAAACAGCAGAAACGCACAATTCCTAAGAATGACATTTGAACTACATGAGTCAAATATTCGGTGTAGGAGGGGACTTTACAATTTTGTTACACTTTACCTGGACCTGTTTATCTTGACAGATTTTGACCTATGAAAGATAGATTTTCAGCTGCCATAACTTAAAATTTTTGGATGTTGTTTGAGTTAATAACGTAGGTACTATGAAGACCATGACATGTGAAATCCATTATACCGAAATGGATGGGTGAGCCAGCCACATGACTCGAATAGAGGACCTTTCCGACCTCGTGGAATGATGAATAGCAGTGAAAAGGAGTACAAATAAAGCAGACCAAATAGCGGTACTCACATATAACCATGGTCCTGAAATGTCAGAAAAGAGCATTTAAATGAGTGAAGAAAAAGTAGCACATTTAATGGCATAGTAACAACAGAAAAGTAAGAGTGGCACTCAAAGTATAAGTTAGAATTAGCCTCATATCCCCCCCATCCCCTCAATCGATCCATCGAGTTCCTTGTCTATTTCGGGATTCTCACCTAGGAACAAATAAAATCGGTCGAAGAAGGAGGCATCCTGTGATATGAATCTTGAATCTCCGTCTTGCAACTTCGTCAGACCCGAATAATACGTGAAGATGAGGAAACAGCATGCAAGTCCCAGGCACAGGAGGGTCATACACTTCTTTGAAATACTGCATGGATTCACATTTATAGCCATGCTGTGATATCTATTTCTTCTACCTTTGTGTTCACCTTGGTTTTTGGGTGTTATAAACATTTAGAATCTCGACTTACACATATTCTTGCAAACGTACATTGTTGCTCATTACTTAGTTTGCATTACTCTGCTTATTAATATGCTTTAACACAGGCTAGTGGTCTTCTCTCTGTTAGGCACGAATAATGGCAGACACACCCGAGCAAAGACAACATGGGCCAATGATGGAATTCCTCTATCTCAACGTTGATAAGATAATCCGGAACCTTCTTGGTTGGCTTCTTTTAATATAGAGGGTGGTAAAAAAAAATACGTATTGTGTGACGTTTCATGAAACCCGCTGTGGATTATATAGGTTCGTGATGTTTTCGTATGAAATAAAATAAAAAAATAAAAATCGACAGTTCCTCGCACTTGAGTAAAAAACTTACCTTCTCCGTGCATGTGGTGGATGGAGTTTCAGCACAGTTTCAGTTTCGAATGATTTCACACTTGACCTCATGAATACTGCTTTTTACGCCCTTTCCTTGTCGTAGTATTTGACATGTCATAGAATAGTAGAATGTCCAGGAAGTACACCTGACAGCATCATTTGGAATACGTGTGACGAAATTGCGCTTTGAAAATGGGGGTTTTTGGGAACGGATATCTGCTTGGCGACAGTGACTATGTTTCTTAAATGTGCTTGGTGACCTGTATAAGGAAGAACTCTCCTTAGTCAGAGAGAAAGTACATTAAAGCTTTCAATTAAACGAGATGAATCATTCAACATTGTTTTGGGGATTCGGAAGTCGAGATTCAGTTGGCTTTATTGAGTATCGTCTGTGCTCTATTGAGTTGCATGGCTTTTTTCTTTTTGATTATACCTGTGCAGGGAGTTCCAAATGGTTTGGAAAATTGTAAAAATAAATGTCTCCCAAAATTATGCCTGACATTAAACGATTAAAATAGAAGCGCAACTCAAACTTTTTAAAATCCGTTATTGCAATTTCACATGGGGACCATTTGTGATTCTGTTGATGTCCAAGTGATGTTCGAGCTCTTACCACACCTTGTGCAGAGAGTCAGGCATGACTGTCGATAGCTGGGACGATTCTGTTCTTTAGATTTTGATCGATCGTCCAATTTCTCCAGGAAGCGATATCCTTGACAGTCCACATGAAAAAATCCACTATAGTTATTTCAAGTGATCTTGGAAGCCATGGGGTCGCTTCGTCCAATCCACAGATATGGGAATTTTCATCAATTTTGTTTCATGCAGCAAGTCATGGTTGCAAGACTTCTTGAATAACCCTCGTATACCGATTAAACTCCCCAGAGTCCACAAATAATTATTGCGTGAAAACGCTGAAGAAATTAACTTTGGTGTCTGCTACTATATGATGTGTGATATTTCTATGCAAAGAAGACTGTTTTGACCATAGACAGGAATTAACTTCAATATATAGGAACATTAAATAACGCATTGAATTTTCACCAGGTGATCCTCATGCTACAAATAATATAACGTCAATATGAATATTTTCTGAAAAAACTTCATTTTAAGGGGTGAGCGCCGAAGGTTGAGAATTGCCAATCCCTTTAATCAAGGGGTTTGACAACATAATTAGGGGTGAAGTTCGAAAACGAATGCTTTCAGTGCATTTGTAATTTTCTTTGTTCCTAGAGCGCCGAAGGCACGTCCATCTCGAGATTGTTTGCCCTTTGGGCAAACAAATTCCCTAATATATATTGGTAAGAGTTCATGGCTAGTCCATAACGAAATTTCTTGTCTTTGCAATAAAGAATATACAGGGTGTAGATAAAAAGTACATTTTTGACTTTTAATAGCTCTGCAACGGAAAGGCGCAGGACAGTGAAATTTTAGGGGGATACTGAAGGGGTCATGGGATTTTATTTCAGACTGTTTTGAGGAAAAAAATTAACTTTAATTTGTTTGTCATAGTTGCATACTTGACAGTATTGAACCGCGGTCGAAAGTATCTAAAAGTTTCCGGCCATATATAGAAATGTCATGCCTTTGACTGAGAAGCAGAGAGGCGACCTGATAATTTAAAGCTTTTCTACACCTGTCCAACGAGTGTAATGCTGTTGTTGCCTTACAAAAGTACTACACAGCACACAGCCTGCGTTTAGGGCCCTGCTCGAGACAAGCGCTGCTGAATTTGGTCGACAGGTTCCAGGAGAAGGGTTGTGTTCGCAACCAACAGAGTGGAGGCAGGTCGCCGACCACTGTAGAAGTTGTCGCTGAAATCAGAGGTACGATTGACAAAGAGGCTAGCACAAGTGCACACGGAACGAGCAGCGCTCGTGTCGTCGCCTGCCGTTTGGATCTTCCCCATTCAACTGTGCACAAGGTATTAAAGCAAACTCTGCAAATGTTCCCGTACAAGCTGAAACGTGTCCAAGTCTTGCAAGATGATGATCCTCAGCAACGATTGCATTTTGTGCTGCACATTTTGGCGCGAGTGGAAGTAGACGATAACTGACCAAATATATTGACCGATGAGGCCCATTTCAAGCCATGTGGTACTCTGAGCATGAGGACCTGTGTTATTTGGGCAGAGGAGAACCCCCATACCGCAATTATTGAGCCTCCTCATGATTTGAAGGTCACGACGTGGTCCGGATTCAATGCAGAGTTTATTATTGAGCTGTTCATCTTTGAAGAAGAAAGACAACATGGACTTGTCTCGTGCACTGTTACTGGTGAGCAATACCACTCTTCGCTGAGAGACTTTATCATACCCTGCCTCCAGCAACGAAATGCGGTTGTCTCGACTGTTCTCATGCAGGATGGTGCCCCTCCACACATCGTTAGACCTGTCAAAAACATATTGATTCAGCATTTCCAAGATCGGGTCATCACCTGTTACTTTCCATGCAGTTGGCCGCCACGCTCGCCAGACCTTAGACCAGCAGATTTCTGGTTGTGGGGTTATCTGAAATCCCGAGTCTACAAGACAGCCCTTGCACCCTGTAAGACCTAAAATACGCATTTTCAATAGAAGTGACCGGCATACCCAAGGAAATGTGCGCCGCCCCTGTGATGTCTGGTGTCATGCAGATGCAGTACGTTGTAGAAAATAAAGGACGACGGATTGAAAACATGCTGTAACTGACTGTAATCAAGGATTGCTAATTGCTGCAACCAAGACATTTTCGAGATGTGAGCGTTAATTTCAATGAAGTTGCACAAACTATGACATATGGAATTCCCAGCCACGTTGCGTCAACGTTGAGAAAAGATTGAAACCTTGAGACTTAGTTAAAGTTCAGAATCCGAAGAGGAATTGACATCAATGAAATGCTGGCTATTCATAATTAACAGTATTTGCAGCATATTATGACTACCCGTGGATTAGCGAAGTCGTTTAGTGGTTTTTAAGCGCAAATCATATATGATGAAAAACGAATTTGCGCTTAATGTGGCGACTGAGTTAAGACTTTTAAAAGCACCAAGCCAAAAGCCATATAAAATAAAATCCCTTAAGCCCCTGAATATTGCCATAAGTTTCACTGCCATTCGCCTTTCCGTTCCGAAGATATTGAACTTCAAAAATGTGGTTTTTCTTTGTGAACGAGGGTATATGACAAGAATATGTACTAAATACTTTAGTTGAACAAGGAAGTCATAGAGTTGTACAACAAAGATATCAACTTTTGGGTTTCTGGAAAATATCGTCTATAGTTATTTTCTTTAGGTGTTGGTACTTCATTTCCGCCATGAATTCCAAGATCTTCTCTCTCGTTCCCTTGTTGGATTCAACCATGAGAACCTTGGTGAGGCAGGGAGGGGGAGAGAGAAACAATAACATGAAATGAAGTAGAAAATGTGAACGTTCTATTCTCTAAAAAATTCCCTACCTTGATATCGAAAGCGTCCCAAGAGAAGTTGCTCAGAACTTCATAATCCAATCCCTCAATGTCCAGACTGAAGTAATCCACTTCGTATTGACCGATGGCACCAAGGAGAGACTCTAATGGGAAACAGATGAGATGCTGCATCTTCTGGTTTCCTCGTTTATCAAAGGCCATCTTTCCAATTGCTCCCCCTCCTTTCAGAGCCATCTACAGATGCAAGACATAACGACATGCTGTGAACATGTTGCCAACGACGTTAATCTCTTTCCAGACTGACCTTTGTGGGATACGGGACTGGACTTAGACAGGAATGGGCAAGCCACGACTTTCTCTGCTTCCCTTTCAAACTGGCGAAGTTCTTTGAGTCGGGTTCGATGAGAAGTCCCGTCCAGTTCCTCTCCCTTTCAAGCCAGAGGGTATTAGAAAATCTCTCGCCATCGAATGCCCCCGCCTCGATGAAGAATCCTTCATTCTGAAAGTATTATCGCAGCTCATGAAAAACAGAACTGTTTTCGAGTTCCTTTAATCATTTTGAAACGTACAGATTTCCCGTAGAAGGTATTGAGGAATGCAATCTGGTCCTTGAATTGGGAGAAATGATGCATTTTTGGTTTCCTTAGCTTGTAGGGAGCATCTCTGGAAAGCGGTGGAATAAGGACAAAGTCTCTTATGTATCGCAGGAGACGAGGATCGTTTCCCGAAATCTTTTCATCTTTTTCTACGATCCGTAATTGTAGCTCATGTTCGTCCCAGATTTCCGTCTGAAAGCCTAATGAGGAAGAAGAAAATATAATTTCGGCTTACCATCGTGGCTTACCAATTTTGGAAAATTGTAGGAGTACTGCGTAGGATAAAAAAAACTTGGCAGGAAGCGACGGGATTGAAGTCATTACTGCTAACCCGGAATATTATTTTTTGTCATATCACCGGAAATAACTAGACGGTGCAAGTAAATGGTCTGATTAAGTGTTTTACTATTTCATTTAAAAGCTGCTTGGGCCGAATGCACTAGTGTATTTATTATTTTCAGCTGTTGTTAGCATGAAGCTTTATCGTCATCACCTTTCAGAACCACGACTGAAAGGACGATAAGTAAAATTTGTGAAGCCTGAGTCTTATTGGCGTCAGCCGCCCAACTGCTCTGTCAAGCAAATGAAAAGGAACTATCCAAGATATTTGAAAACAAATACAGACCTCTGGGCTAAGCGGAGGAATGAGATGGGTCTTACGGGTGTTGGGTCACCCTTTCCTTGGGAAACAATGTATGCTTAAGCTTTGTGCGAAGAACTTCGACAGATCTTAGGCACCGGCGAGAAAACTCTCTTGCTTAAAGAATGTAATCTCAGTTGAACTCGCATCAGCCATAAATGGAGGGGCTAACGAGGAGGAATAACTACATCTGAAATTACAACACATTAGAGAAATTCATACGCAAAGCGAAGACCGTATTTTGCTTCTTTTATGTACTCAAACTAGCGAAAAGGAAACTTGAAAAATGAATCAGGCTCAATGTGTTAGGCTTGAACTCCATATAACAAACCCTATTCCCACATCTATGCTTCAGAAACTAGTCGGGCTGAGCAATATTGCTGAGAAGGAATTGATAAGTGTTATCTCCATGCCTTCAATATGCTTTCCAATCCTAGAGGCAGCCCATATCGCTAGCATACATATGCAATACTCTGTTTCATTATTCACACAGACTAGATATGACGAAGTTTCACTTCCCCAATGCATCTCTTTTCTCTTTAGTTGTTATTAATTGAATCAGGAATCATTCCCCGTGGTTTGTGGCACCCAAATGCGCATCACTCAGGTGCGTATACGATGTCAAAAGGAGTCAAAAAAGCTACTTTTCCACTTCATATTTCTTAAACGAACTTATATTTAAATTATTTTAAACCAACCAGTCACTTCTCATACGGCTGCAATTATATATTTGCACTAAAAAATTGCATACAAAAGAAAATGGTGTACTTTTCTACTGGTAAAATTCATTTCTTCAATTTATTTCCCGAATTGTTCTTATGTTAGCTTTCTGTAGAAATCAGGAAAACATATGTTTCGTGCTTCAAAGAAGAGTTATTACGGCGCCGAACTTCCTTCTAAACGTAGTCTTCATATCTATCATAGGCATTCTCTGTTCAGACTTAGTCGAGGTGGTTCGTGCAACTATTTCGCCTGGGTTCGGGAAGGAGCATAGGCCACATGTTCCATGGTCGCACTGAAATGGTTCATGGAACTCGAAACAGGGCTCAAATCGGTCTAAAGTTATACGTCCTCTTGTAAATGGTTCGTGAATGTACGAATAGTCCTACGACTGATCAAAACGTCACACGTCCTCAACAAGATGTCTGGAGCACCGAATAAGAGCATGGGTTCACCTTTTATAGTCTTAATTGGTCCAATAAGTCGGGAATTCATTTTCTTTGGAAATAAATCAGGTAGGTTTGGGCACAACCAGAAGGCGATTCGTCGGTAAGGGACCTAGACCGAACGTTTGTGAATCCCGTAGTGAACGGGGAGGGGTGGGTGGGTTGAAAAAAGAGAATATCTTTCAAATAAGGTTTTAACATTACTTCATTCTGAAATGCTGGTAAAGCCACACATACTGCATATCTTCATTAGAGAACCTTTGAAAGACATTAAGCAAGAGTAGAAATACAGCAGTTCTGAATGCCGCTGTGACATATACACGATATCATTGCCAGAAACCTCCAAAAGGTGCAATTAAATAAATGCAGAGGAGCTAGCACATATTGAGGCATTTCTTGATACCTATGTATAGCAACGAAATATGAGTAGCACTCAGCAACTAAATTTCGAGGAATTGGATTCATGTATCCTGCCCAGCTCCCCCGAAAATTCGACTCTAAAGATCTATTGAGACTCTAAACTCATTCAATACTCTCTGATTTGTTTTAAAAAGTTTTTGGTATCTATCTCGGGATTCTCACCAAATAACGAGGAAAGTCGTTCAAGGAAGGAGGCATCTTGTGATTTGAATCGCGAATCTCCGATTTGTATAATCGTCGGACCCGAATGATACATGAAGATTAAGAAACCGAATGAAAGTCCAAGGCACAAAAGAGTTCCACACTTCCTCGAAAAACTGCACGGTTTCACATTTATCGGCATGCTGATTCTCAATTGACGCCACGTGCACTGATTATTAATATGCTTTTGAACATGAGTGGTGTTCTTCACTCGGTGAGGTTAAAAGATACACTCACCTAACGCGGATTATCAACTAAGTATGGTGCTTCGCTCTACTTGTCTGAACACTGATAAGATACCAGTCCTACGATTTTATGGATGGTTTCGTAATTGAAAGGCTTGTTGACATTGCAAGAAACTGATATATGCATGCCCTGAAACGATAGCCTCAATATGACACATTTGAAATTTGAAGCAAACTGGCCTGTTCACAAGAGTGTTCCTTAAATTATACTTTGATCATACGACAGTATCAGTCCGGAAATGTTCAGATATTGGTTCCACGGAAGGAACAAATGATGGCTGCGAACTAATTATAATCATGTTTTCCAGTGTCACACTGTAAGAAAATGAAAGTTTACAATTGACCTCAATCACATTTTTCGTCATCGCTGTGCCTTTTATGTAGATGGTCGGGAACCTCCTTTCCCTTCAAAACTGCCTGCCAAACTCTTAAATGCATTCCCAGGAAAAAATTCATTAAAACGCATTTGCTTTCACCCACCAATACATGCTGGGGCATGTCTTACGACATGCAGTTTGTCAATTACTTTTTTTTCTCCAAAAGTTAAGTAGTTGATATCAAATTAAAGGGCTGTTGGAATCCTTGTGTTTTATAAGTTGAATGTCGAAGTTATAAGTTTAAAGTTTATATATCTATATACAGTATTTAATATGCTTGGGCCTCTGTGTACATGTCCGCATCCATGTGCGCATGTGCGACGCCTTCTGCCTGGCGTCGGGTGTACGTCTCCCTCTCTAGGGCTCGCACTTTCTTTCCGGCTGTTGTGACTGTCGGATCTATTCCCGAGAACGATATAATAGCCGTGGAGGGGGGGGGGGAAGTTGGCTTGCATAAGTGGATGACAAACACTATGGAGCGAGTCAATCGGTCAATACCAGGACCGGGTTCCGATTAATAAAGGTTCGGGATCCCTATAAATATAAGAGTAGAGAACTCATTCCGGCAAGGAAGTCATCCTTATTTCAACGAAATGAAATAAGACTCCATGGGTTATACGCGAGGACGTTTTACACGTCCCTGCGGTAAGTTCGTATCGTTTGTGTGCGTTAGTAGGAGCGTTAGGGGATGCGCAAGACGTACTATTTCCGAGCAGCTGCCTCGTCGAGCTTTAAGATGGCCGCTGACTGAATTCGTGAATGCCCCGTCGATGCTCTATTCTTAGCTAGGACTCCTGCGTGAAAATTTCTGCTCGGGCTAACCTCACTTTTGCCGGATAACTTATATATATTGGGTGGGGCAAAAGTCAGGGAACTTAGGAATTTTGGGGGATTTTGTTTTCATTGTGACTACTTGATGGTAACACATTTCTGAATCTCTTTCTCGTCAATTTGACCATTCAATAGTTGCAGTTCAGTGATGAACCATGTCTCTCACCACTGCATTCACTGAAAGTGATTGAAAATGAACGACGGTTACTCCCTGAAACAAGTGCGGCAATTTGGCGATAATATGCAATTTCCATTGCTTTTTATGTTGGTGACCTCCGTGTATAGTTTTTTCCATAACTTCAAGGACGAAACTTCGAAGCGATTTGTGACTAAGTGCTGTGAAAAAACCTAACAATAGTGCATTATACCGAAATATAAGTGAAGTTGGTGATTGTGCTAAAACAGATACACGTTTTCAAAAAATTCGTATGATTCCAATGAATGGTACCTGAATAGGTCAAGCCTGTCAATCCCCGGTACTCAGGTTTGATAGTAAAATGCCAGGCAAGAACTCTGCAGTTCTTGATGCAAAAAAATTAATGTGCGCAATAGGAGAAACCGACAAAACCAGACTCGTCGTGTCCATCAGTGACATGCCCAAGGGAGGGGTAATGATGGTTATCATCCCCCTCTCCTCTTGGGATACATTTTACAGGTTCGATTCTCAGACTATTTTTTTTAAAACTTGGATTACAAATTTTTCATCGTACCCCCCCGTCCCAATTAGGATCTTCCGGGCGTGCTACTGGTGTCCACACAGCCACAATATTCATCGTGAGAGATGTTGAGAGCTATGAACATAAGTGAAAATTTAAAAGGAAAATTAAATTTCCCCAAAACTCCTGTTCCCTGACTTTTGCCCCATCATTCATATACTCGTGTATGACCATCCTCGAACCAAATGAGGAAGCCCTGCAAAGTTTGGTCGGACTGGGATCAGAGGTGTGGCCGTGCATAGAGGATAGTCTCACGCACAAACACTCCGAAATATAATAATATAGATGTTTGAGATTACGGGAACACCTATACTTCTAACAACAGGTAGAAGAAAGAGAAATGGAGAAACAGAAAAACAACAGGAATTCAGACGTGAGGCAGACGCTTCCTCCTGCAGTTAGGAGGAAGCGTCAGCGACGAACTCCAGAAACACCAAAAGAGAGACGTGAGCGCTTGGACCAAAATGCTAAATGTAATAGGGTCAGGCACACTTTTGAGTCATCTGAGCTCCGAAAAATGAGATTGCCCAGAAATGCAGAGAGCAATAGGACCAGACGT